TGAAGAGGTGTGTGTCAGAAGCCTTGGCCTGCGTATTCGGGGTAATAATTCCATCTCAGTGGTACACCGAACCCAATCCTGCTGAAAATGTCTTGTCATAAGCCCAAGACACATGCCGCCTACAACAAACCAGAAGAAACAATAGGGGTATGACTGTATCATAACACATGAACTTCGTTGTATTGTAGGGTTGAGAGGAACGAAATATTTCATTAGGTGACAGCTACATAATTTATAAGCCTATATCCATCATAACTAAATACATAAATGGCAAAATCTACTACGCCACCATCTAGAGAGATACAGTACAACAACCCTTATTCCGATTAAATGACTAGGCCATCAGGCTGGATGGTGGAACGCAGGCCTTTCATAGCCATGTGCTGCGCATAGAACTCAGCATGTTCCTGCACACAGCAAGGAGACAACCGTCAAGTCAAGCATGTATGGAACTGGTGCCCCAACCAACCCCCTCAATCACACAACCCTCCCAGAACCCTCATTCAGCCGCCACAACTCCCATCATAACCATGCATAATATAGAAAACGAACGAACAAAAATAGCTCAAGGTAATGAAAGAAAATTGTTACCTTGATGGCGACGCAGACGAGCCCCTGACCCAGCTCCCTGGACTCGTTGAATACCCGCCGCGCGTCGTCCGCTGTGACTGACGGCACCACTGTTGGCAGCACCTTCGCCACTGATTCACAGAGCGAGCACATGGGGGGGAACGGTTGCAGAGATAGTGAAAATAGCGAAATGAACTTGTGAGAACCGAACCGAAAACAAAGAGATCATGACGACGCAAGCCTTCCCCCTCGCTCCCACCTCCTCACCCCCCCACCCATTTCCCTATCCCCTTCCTCCCTAAACTCCTCCGCTTCGAACCAGGGAAACGGTTTTCGGTCACCACAGAAACCAGCTGAAGCGAGGTGACAGCACAAAGCAAGCACTCGCTCACCTCCATCCTCGGTGTGCTTCTCGTGGTCCAACAGAAGCACGCGGTACCGATCTCCGCCTCCGTTCCGCATCTGCTGCTTCAGCTGCCCCATCTCGCCGCCGGCGTCCGTCTTCGGAGCGCCGTCCTCTCCTCCTGATTGGTCCAACCCCGGCCGCTCCAGCACCGACGCTCCCCCGAACGAGCTGCCGAGCCTACCGCGCAAGCGAACGCCCTGAGAGTCCATGCGAACGGCTAGTGACGCCATCGCAGCGTGAGAATCTGCTTGGCTCGACTGCGCGACTGAGGAAGGCTTGGAAGTCGCGGTCAGTCTGTGTGGGAGTGCGCAGGCAGTGACAGTCGCGGCGGCTGAAGCAACTGACGCCATGATTCCGTGAAAACGGAGAGGTTGTTGGCGACCTGACGATGCGCGGAATGTAATCGATGCGTGGCGGCTGGTGAATTCGCAGTGAAGATGGTGCTATAAAGAACGCACCTAACAAAAGCTGGAGTGACTGGTGGAGTGGGGGGTGATAATGGATTCTCTACGCTCGACTGAAATGAGAAATCGGTGGCAAATGAGCAAACGAGTTCCCAGTGGGAACAGGTGAGGAGGATGGGGACGAAATCGGAGCCTGAGCGAAGCAGACGAGTGCGGACGAAATCCTGCGACCTTCAAAGCAAACATCTCGCGAACAGCGAACACTTTGCCAGCTGGACCGTCGAGAAAGAGCGACCTGAAGTGGCGGCACGAGTGAGTGCCAGGTGTACATCGGAAGTGGAGGCGCGTGAACCTTCCCAAAGGCGAAGAGCCAGGTGAACATGCCCGCTATGTGATGCGCCAGTACGAAAAGCTAACGTAGTGATACATTTTTGTGGAACCTCTAGCTTAAACAACCTTTTTGCTTTTACCCAAACCCTTGTACCAAGGGGAAATGAGTAGCAAAGGCAAACCACCCATCAGTCTCGACCATGGAGTTCTAAGGAGCCAACCTCTCACTGCCTCCACCTCCATTGCTTGAACAATCTCAGCGTCTGTCGCTGATCCGCCGCGCGCAATGGATGGGGATAAGAAAAGCCTCCCCATGACAACATCATCCCAGTGCTGACGCTGGTGTCGAATTAATTCTGACCTGTCGGAGGAGCCGGGGAACTGAGATGATTCTTCGCTGTCAACTTCTGTTTTACCTCCATATCTGGCACTGCCTTTGAAGCTGCCATGTAGCTTACTATCACCTCCACTATTGTCACACTTGCTGCTGCCTCCTGCAATAGCACCGCCCCTACCAAAACTTCCCTTCCTTCTCCAGACTGTCAGACAGTCGTGTGTCCCTGGCCAATTGGGAAGAGCCACGTGTTCAACCAGCACCCATTCCTTTTCCAGAAGGGAGAGAAACCGCGGGCCGGCGGTTTGCGGCTGGTATGAGGGCGACTGAGAAGAGTGTGACTGTATGGAACCGTCACTTGACTGTGTAGAGTGTGCTTGCAGGAAGTGAAGTGGAAGTTCTCCAATGAACACAAGAGTAGAACCCCTGTAGTGGAGTAAAGCGTCTGCTGCCAGAGATGGCACCTCTGGCAGAGATGGCCCTAATGCTGATTCTGATTCTGATGTTGATGCTGATGATGCTGCTGCTCCTGCTGCTCCTCCTCTTCCTTTTCCTGCCAATGCTCCTGCTCCTCCTTCTCCTCCAGTCACTGCTGCCTCGGCTGTTTCCGGTTCTTCAGGTGGCGGCCAGCACAGCAGCAACGAACGGTCAGGATGCAACGCGGACACCGAGGCATCTCCCTCTGAGAAATCCAAGGGTGTGGGAATATGAGTTGCCAGGCGGGGGGGGGGGGGGGAGGGGTTAACGGACGAGTTTGTGTAGAAGGTTGATTTGCGTGAGCAGCTGTACTTTAGTAACCAGCAATGGACATTGCAGAAACAAACGCTGCAAGCGGGGTGCTCACCAGACACGTGAAAGGTATTTGAGAATTCTCACAAACCAGCTACTCTAATATCCAGCAACAGACACTGTAGAAACAAACGTTGTAAGAGAGGTGCTCACCAGACACATGAATAAAAGGCGGCACGTTGACCAGCTGACTTGCCGATGCCATGGGAAGGGCATGGTGCCCGTTCACTCCGCTGCTGCTGACACCGTTGCTGCTGTGACTGCTGCTGCCACTGCTGCTGCTGCTGTTGTTGCTGCTGGCGCTGCCACCATTGCTGCTGCTGCTGGTGCTTCCAGCACTGTCGAGAGGTGTCCAGTCATATGCTACCACGTCAATGCCTCTCCTCCTCAGCAGTGCAGCCCAGTAACCTGTTCCTGCGCCCACCTGCCATGGTTGTTGTGAGCACTGAACGAATGATGACATGCTATGTTCATTTGTGGTTGCCCTGACTCATAATCCAAGGGCTGCAGTAGCAGGAAAGACGACTTTTGAGGCGCCTCAAAAGTCGAATGATGACATGCTATGTTCATTTGTGGTTGAGATGAGATGCCACAAAGATAAGCAGCAGCGCAGCACACCTGTTATGGTGGTGGTCAGAGAGATAGACACGACATGCCATGTCCCGCACGGCATGCCATGTCATGCCATGTCAGCAACATGCATCGATGCCATGCCACAGTACTGCATGATTGGAATGCCAGGAGGATTTCTGGATCATATTCGCCAGCTTATGAAGCGCAAAGCGCGGAGCGGTCTGGTGCTTCCAAACGCAAAATCAGTCATCACCTCATGCCCATTGCATCCCACTCCACCCCCTCCAACTGTTTTTCCCTCCAACCCCCAACCCATGCCCATCCCCATCGCTCACCTCCACCACCCCCGTCCCTCCAACTGCCGCCTTGACAGCTGCCAGCGCTTCCTCTGTGGGTACGGCCCTGTGGAGCGCAGGGGCGCAGGGGCGCAGGGGCGCATGGGCGGAAGGGAAGAGGGGTGGGGCGGAGGGACGATAGTCAGGTTTGATACTCCGTGCTCTGAAAATTGATGTGTTGTCCACTTTACAAACTGGTTCACCTCCCGATTCCGGTTATACAAGAACGCACCAGGCGTATATTCTGCGCAGCGGCGCGATGTTCAAGTCAATGTAGGGCACGAGCAGGGGGTTCAGCGGCGCTGCTTCCCTTCCCCCCTCTCCGCCACTCTCCGCCCGTTTTCCCCCCACCAGCGCTTCCCCCCCGAGAGCGCGGAACTCCGCCATGCGCTGGCGGAAGAGGCGCAGGTATTCCATGTCTGGTGCCAACGGCGCGCAGTCTGTACGCGATAAAAGGCCATCGCGGTAAGAAGACGAAGGTTCGTGCAGTCCCGTTGAGAGGGAGTGGTTGGGGTTCGCGCGAGCAGGCGGCTGCTTCGAAAGGAGCAAGCGAACGAGGAGGCGGCGAATCATGTCGAGCGGTTGAATGATGCAAGACGACGACGACGGCGAAATTCTGGCGAGATGACGGCGAAACAGTGAGGAGATGAAGTCGAAATTGCTGTGAGATCACGGCAAAATGACAAGTTCTTTTAAGCCCTGACACTTGATACCGCCAGGATACGGCGGGCTATGAAGCCTCACGACAGTTACGAACACGCGACGCCATGGTTGTGTTTTGAGTCGATTCCAAACACACGAACGGATATCGCGGCCTGATGCTTTCAGCGGGGATTCAGGGGGCACAAATGGTTGCCATATACGCGTTATGAAGTAGCAATGTAAATGTTGAAACAATCCCTTATTGCGTTTTGAGACTCGTGTTATATGTGCATCTTAACATTTCAACTTCGAAGTTGGACTAATAAACCTCATTTGCCAACCCCTGACACCCGGAACCCTTACATCCGCCCCTGGCCCTATTTCCACCATTCTTGCGACTCCCCGTGCTGTGCCGTAGCAGGCTCGAAACCACTATCGTAGGGTCGCATCGCAACGCAACAAAGGCTTCGGTAGACGTTGCTATCTATCCGGTCGATGTCTGCGTGAGGCAATTTCAGCTCTGAGCCGCCTTTTACGAAATAAAAGTTAGTTACACTTTCGTGAGTGCAGCCTGCGTTCCGAGCTTTCGCAGCCTGCGTGCACCCTTTAAGCGCGTCATGCCTGCTACACTCACTAACGAGGATGAGGCCACTAAGACCGTTCTGGAGTCGCTCGACGATCTCCCACCCACCTCCTTCCTCGCACCTTCGTCGGACCTTTCGCAGCAGCTTTGCACCGCAGTGAAGGCTCTCTTCGACACCGGAATGTCCAACCTGGACGCCGCAAAGGACGCCGCACTTGACGCCGCATCTGGCGGAGGGAAAAAAGGAGCGTCCGGTTTTACCAAATCACAGTCGTTAGCCCCGGAAAGGAAGCTTCCTGGGCTTTTCGTCGATGGATTTGATTCGGAGCAGATCTGGTGCCAGCTGGACCTCGCTATGGCGCCGACACTTCCCCGCATTCGACGGCGGCTGAAACGGGCGGAGGAGCTCATGGAAGGGAAGGCGGTGGGGAAGGACTTTTTTCGGGTTCCGAAGCTTGTCAGGGGGAAAGGCGGAAAGGGGGAATCCGGACAGGGGGGAGGGAAAGTACAAGGGAAGGAGATGCGGGGGAAGGGGGGGAAAGGGGGGAAGGGGCGAGAAGGGGAAGGGGACGAGGATGGAAGTGGCGAAAAGGAGCGGGTACAGGGTTTAGGGTTGGGGGGTTCTGAAGGGGAGAGTGGTGAGGAGGAAGACGAGGAGGATGAGGAGGGATTGATGGGGGAGGGGAGGAGGAGAGGGATAGTATTGGGTTCTGAGGAGGAGGATGAGGAGAGGGAGGGGGATGGGGAGGAGGAGGACGAGGATGAATTGGCATTAATGGAAGAGATCAGGAAAGCGAGGAGAGAGGAAGAGGAGGAGGGAGAGGGGGAGGAGGAGGAGGAAGGGGATGAAGAGGATGGGGAGGGGGCGTTTGAGGCGCTTTACAGGGCAGGGTCGTCTGGTGGGGGGGAGGAAGAGGGGGAAGAGGATGATGGGGACGAGGTAAGGGGCAATGGGACATGAAGGATGGATGGATGGGGAGGGATGGGGAGGGATGGGGAGGGATGGGGAGGGGTGGGGAGGGATGGGGAGGTGGGTTTCGGGTTTTAGAGGATTAAGGAGAAGTGTTGAAGCATGAATTGTAATAAATGTCTGCTGCTGTCGCTATGTGTGTGGCATGTGCGTGACGGCACGGCATGCCCATGCACGTGTGTGTGCTTGTGTGTGGCACGTGTGTCTGTGGCATGTGCGTGCATCTATGTGTGTCTATGTGTTTGGCATGTCTGTGTGCATGTTTTTGTGCGTGTGTGTGGCATGGCATGTGCATGAGCGTGGCATGTGCGTGTGTGTGTGAGCAGGGAGGGCGGAAGAAGGCACAGAAGAAGAAGGCACTCCTAGATGGCGCCATGATCAGGTGAGAGCCGTTGGATTGGATTAAGGCGTCTTACCGGGTGTGCTCGAGTGGGCATGCAGAAAATAGAGAGTGCGGGGAGGGGGACTGGAGCCTTGAGTGAGCATGGGTGTATGTGAGGAAGGCTCAGCAGAAGAATGCATGGGTAGATGGCGCCATGATCAGGTGAGAGCCGTTGGATTGGATTAAGGCATCCCACCGGGTGTGCTCGAATGGGTGGGCATGCAGAAAAGAGTGAGCTGGGGGAGGGGGGAAGGAGCCTTGAGTGAGCATGGTTGTATTGTATGGAAGGCTCAGCAGAAGAAGGCACTGGTGGAGTGAGCTGGGAGGCTTCATGATCCTTGGGCACTGGTGAAACTTTTGAGAATTCTCGGTGCGACTTTTGAGAATTCTCGGTGCGACTTTTGAGAATTCTCGGTGCGACTTTTGAGAATTCTCAAAAGTCGCACCAATATGGAAGGCTCAGCAGAAGGAGGCGAGGCACTGGAAGGCTTCATGATTCTTGGGCACTGGTGAATGAGCTGTGAACCTTGGGTTTATGGAAGAGGGGGGGGGGGAAGAAGGAGGTTAGGCTCCGTGATTTCCCCCTCACTTGAGCTATTTTCTTTCCCTCGCTTCATTATCTCTCGCCTCATCATCCCTCCCCTTGTGCTGCTGCTGCACGTAGATATGAGGACTTTTTTGGGAGGAAGGCGCCGGAGAGCCATCTCGAGGCGGATCGGGCGATGAGGGGCGAGGAGGAGGAGGATGTGGAAGACGTGGAGGTGGAGGAGTGGGAGGGGGAGGGGGAAGAGGAGGAAGAGGAGGAAGAGGATGGAGACGAGGGGGAGGATGAGGAGGAAGAGGAAGAGGATGGGGAGGAGGAGGGAGGGGAGGAAGGAGGGGAGGAGGGGAAGGCAGTTGTAGCGAGAAGGAAGAAGGGGTTGCTGGATGAGGAGGAGGAGGGTGGAGAGAAGGAGGACGAGGAGGTGCGTTACGAGTATGGGTGGTGTCGGGGATAGAGGGGATGGTGATGGGGACAATTGGGCTGCTGAGAAATCTGCTTTACTTTGCACAGCCCAGAAGTGAGAACTCTCAACATTGACACTACAGCCCTCTTCCCCCCCACTACTTTAAAATGTGCCTGCCTGCTCTCCCCATCCTCTTGCCCGGTTCTGCCCTTTGTTGCGCCCACAGCCCAAGTTGCTGTACGAGATTCGGCTGGAGCGCCTGAGGTGAAGGCGCCTGAGCCCGCATTCGCATGCGGCAGCGGGAGGGGGAGGTTCTGTTCCGAGTCCCATGCAAGCAGAGCCTTTTCTGTGCGGCCCTCCTGCTCCCCCTTCGCGCCCCTCTCTCCTGGCCCTGCTTATATTGCAGCCCAAGTCGCTGTACGAGATTCGGCTGGAGCGCCTGAGGTGAAGCGCATGCGGCAGCTGGAGGAGAAGAACCTCTGGGAGTCCTCTCGCATCCCACTGTGGCCTTTCCTGTGCACCCCTCTCTCTCGCCCCACCCTCCACGCGTCCTCCTCTTTTCTGTCCGTTTTTTTTTTCCCCGCAGCCCAGGTCGCTTTATGAAATCCGCCTGGAGCGGCTGAGGAAGCGCATGCGCCAGCTGGAGGCGGAGAACCTCCACGTGGAGGCGCGCCATTGGACGATGCGCGGCGAGGTGACAGCTGGCAGCCGCCCGAAGAACAGTGCGCTGGCGGCCGACCTGGACTTTGAGCACGCCGCCCGGCCGGCGCCCGTGATTACAGAGGAGGTGACTCAAACGATTGAGGAGATCATCAAGAAGAGGATTCTCAACGTGAGTTCTCCCGCTGTCTGGATGATTTTTAGGAGTTTTCAAGATTGGTAATGTGTGCGTGGGTGGGTGGGGGGAGGGAGGGGGGAGGGGAGGAGAGAGGGAAGGGGGAGGGTATGTGTGTGTGTGTGTGGTAGGCCAGTATGTGTGTCAGTAGTACTCATAGCCCGTGCGAGGTCGCCCGAAGAACAGCGCGCTGGCGGCTGACCTGGACTTTGAGGTGACTTTTGAGTCGGCCAAGGTGACTTTTGACTCAAGAGTCACCTTGGCCGCCCGAAGAACAGTGCGCTGGCGGCCGACCTGGACTTTGAGCACGCCGCCCGGCCGGCGCCCGTGATTACGGAGGAGGTGACTCAAACGATCGAGGAGATCATCAAGAAGAGGATTCTCAACGTGAGTTCCGTGTGTGTGGGTGGGTGGGTGGGGCATGCTAAAAAAAAAAACTCTGAATTTCTGTGTGGGGTGTGTGTGGTAGGAGGCCACTATGTGTGCTAGTGATTTTGAGTGGTAGACCCTTCTGTTGCTACCATTGCACCATTACTTCTTGCTGGTAGGTAGGACGCTCATCCAGTCATGAATCCACACCCTCTTTTGTCCCCTTGCCTCTTTCTTCCTCTGCTTGTCCACGCCAGCAACAATTTGATGACGTGGAGCGCAAGGCGAAGCCTGTTGCGACACCTGTCAAGGGCAGATTGGAGCTGGTGAGTGGCCCATGCTCCTTCTGCTGCTGCTTCTCCTGGTTGTGTTCCTGCTCCTACTCGTGCTACCGCTATTGCTCTTCCTCACCTGACCTCCTTACTTGTCTCCACTCGTGCCCCTCCTCTCGCAGGACGACAACCCCAGCGCCCAGGGCCTGGCGGAGATCTACGAGGCTCGGTTCCTCAAGGCGGCTGGTCAGGCCTCTCCATTCCTGTATTCAATCCCCTTCCTCCTCCTCTTCTCCACCTATGCCCCTCTACCCGTGCCTCTGGCAGGACGACAACCCCAGCGCCCAAGGCCGGCCTGGCGGAGGAGATCTACGAGGCTCAGCTCCTCAAGGCTCTCCTTGCAGTGTGTTGTGTTGCCCCCCTAACACTACGCTTAAGTTGAAATGCATTCCTGTGTCCTCTCCACGTATGCCCCTGCCAGGACGACAACCCCAGCGCCCAGGGCCTGGCGGAGATCTACGAGGCTCAGTTCCTCAAGCCTCGCTGTTTGCAGTGTGTTGCCACTCAGTTCCTCCGTACTTTCCTCCTCATGCCTTCCCTCCGCTCCACCTGTGCTCCTCCCCAGGACGACAACCCCAGCGCGCAAGGCCTGGCGGAGATCTACGAGGCTCAGTTCCTCAAGGCGGCTGGTCAGGCACCCGAGGGGATGAGCGCCACAGAGCAGATCAAATACGAGGTGCTGTGGGGTGGGATGGGGAGAGAAGGGAACGAAGAGGAGAGGGGGGGGCATGAATTGTTGAGGGATTTGAGAAGGGGACGCTTTGCAAGGCATGAGTGCCACGTTTGGGTATTCTAAAAATTGACTTGGAGGGCATGAGAGCCACAGAGCAGATCAAATTCGAGGTGCGAGTAGAACGGAGGGGAGGAGGGAGTAAGTGGAGGGAGGTTATGTATGCAGGTATGGGGAGGGTACGAAGCAGGAAGGGAGGGTGGGTGAACGAAGTATACGCGCATGCCTAAGACAACACTTCCATATCTCTGACCCTCTACCAGCCCTATCCCAACCCTCTCCACCCCTCTCCCACCCCTCTCCCACCCCTCTCCCACCCCTCTCCCGCCCCTCTCCCGCCCCTCTCCCGCCCCTTTCTCACAGGCGGCCCGCATGTTCAAGCATCTGTGCACCAAGCTGGACGCACTCTCTCACTTCCACTTCGCTCCCAAGCCGGTATGTCTGCCACCCCTCCCATGCTGCATGCCCCACCCCTCCTATCAGCCCTCCATCCACCCCCTTCTACGATATGTAGCGTACCTGTTCTTTCATGCGTCTTTCACCCCTCCTGTTCCGGGCTCCTAGTCTTTCGCTGCGTCTTTCATGCGCTGCAGCATCGATCTCTTCCCATGTGCTCGATTCCGGACCCGACTGACCCTTGAGTCGACTCCCATGATGGGGAGTTCCTCTCATAAGTCGACTCAAGGGTCAGTCCCTCCCATGATGCCGCTGTTCCTCCGCTCCTAGTCTCTCGCTGCGTCTGCCATGTGCTGCACCAATCTCACACACATGCTTGCTACTCCCCTCTGTCATCCCATCAGATCATGGATGACATTGACGTCACAGCCAACGTGCCAGCCATTGCAATGGAGGAGGTACGTTTGGTAAAAGGGTGTATGCGGTGAAGGGGTTTTCTAAAAATAGAATAATTAAATAAATAAATAAACATAAAATATATATTTCGTCTTCAGTATTCCTGCTCCCCTACTCTTGCTCACACCGCCCGCACCTCCCCGTCGTCCCACTTCCCTTATCCAGGTCTACCTGCATGATCCTGCATCTCCTTTCCCATCCCATCCCCTTTTCCGATCCCACTTTTTTTATGTGGCGCTTGTGGTGGTGTCAACAGCGAGCATGCTGACATCGCTCCCATTTTCATTGCCCCTGTCGCTGATACCCCCTCTCCTCTCCAATCCCTCCTCTCTGTGTCGACACTCCCCCTCTCCCCTCTCTTTTTGAATCCCTCCTATTCGCAGGTGGCGCTAGTGGCGGTGTCAACAGCAAGCATGCTGGCGCTAGTGAAGGTGTTTGCAGGCGGGGAGGAGAGGAGGGCGTGGGGATGGCCCTTTCTCCCTGTCTCATTGCCCCCCTCTCCCTTCCAATCCCTTTCCCCACCTTCCTCTCCATTCCCCCAGGTGGCGCCAGTGGCGGTGTCAACAGCCAGCATGCTGGCGCCAGAGGAGGTGTTTGCAGGCGGGGAGGAGGGCGTGGGGGCGGGCGGGGGCAGGAGGGGGAGTGCGCGGGGGATGGTGAAGGGCGAGGGGGAGATGGAGCGGGAGGACCGGAAGCGGCTGCGCAGCAAGCTGAAGCGCAAGTGGAAGGGTGAGTGGTTGATGGAAACGCGTACCCATCTCTTTCAGTCTCCAAACAAGCTCAATTGCACGTGGAAAGGTAGGGGATGGTGAAGGGCGAGGGGGAGATGGAACGGGAGGACCGGAAGCGGCTGCGCAGCAAGCTGAAGCGCAAGTGGAAGGGTGAGTGGTTGATGGAAACGCGTACCCATCTCTTTCAGTCTCCAAACAAGCTCAATTGCACGTGGAAAGGTAGGGGATGGTGAAGGGCGGGGGGAGGAGGGGGAGTGCGCGGGGGATAGTGAAGGGCGGGGGAGAGATGGAGCGGGAGGACCGGAAGCGGCTGCGCAGCAAGCTCAAGCGCAAGTGGAAGGGTGAGTGGCGTTGCTGCTTCTTGTGCTGCTTGTGCCGCTTGTGCTTCTTGTGCTTCCTGTGCTTTCTCGTTTTGTGATTGATGCTGGCCCCTGTGGTGCGTTCCCTTCAGTCCCCATTCTGTCTAAACTCTCCCGACACATTTCCCCTCTCCCCTGCTCTCGCTCCTCTCCATGGTGCTTGTGCAGGAGAGAAGGCCGAAGACCAGAAAACCTCCCAGGCAGTCCCAGGCACGGCATCTGGTGTGGGTGGTGCTGCTGCTGGCAGTGGTGGGCGCAAGATACGGGTGGTGGAGAAGGGGCAGCAGAAGCAGGGCCTATCAGATTTCACCAATTCAACAAAGGTACGCCCTTCATGCCTGCCCTGCCTTGCCCTGCCCTGCCCTGCCCTGCCCTGCCCTGCCCTGCCCTGCCCTGCCCTGCCCTGCCCTGCCCTGCCCTGCCCTGCCCTGCCCTGCCCTGCCCTGCCCTGCCCTGCCCTGCCCTGCCCTGCCCTGCCCTGCCCTGCCCTGCCCTGCCCTGCCCTGCCCTGCCCTGCCCTGCCCTGCCCTGCCCTGCCCTGCCCTGCCCTGCCCTGCCCTGCCCTGCCCTGCCCTGCCCTGCCCTGCCCTGCCCTGCCCTGCCCTGCCCTGCCCTGCCCTGCCCTGCCCTGCCCTGCCCTGCCCTGCCCTGCCCTGCCCTGCCCTGCCCTGCCCTGCCCTGCCCTGCCCTGCCCTGCCCTGCCCTGCCCTGCCCTGCCCTGCCATGGTCCATCTGCACTCGTTTGTCCCACTTTTTTCCCCGCCTTTTCCCCCTCTTTTCCCCCTCTTTTCCCCCTCTTTTCCCCTTTCTTTTCCCCCTCTTTTCCCCTTTCTTTTCCCACTCTTTTCCCGCCTTTTCCCGCTTTCGTCCCTGTCATGGTCCAATCTGCGTCATTTGTCCCACTTTTCCACTCACATCCACAACGCTGTCTCGAGCATCTGGCAGCAGCAGGAGGTGCTCTCACTGTGATTCGATTCGAGGTGTTACGTTACATTCACCCTCTCCCCTCCCCCCCACACAGGTCTTCACGCACATCCAGGACATACGAGCATCTGGCAGCAGGAGGTGCTTTCACTGTGATTCGATTCGAGGTGTTACGATCACTCTCTTTTTTCTCCCCCACAGGTCTTCATGCACATTCAGGGCATCAGAACATCTGGCAGCAAGAGCTGCTTTGTCTTGTGTTGACATGTTATGTTATCTGCCCTCCCTTCTCCCCCCCCCCCCTCCCCTTCTGCCCCCCACAGGTCTTCACTCACAGCCAGAACATCAGAGCATATGGCAGCAAGAGGTGCTTTGAGCTAATTTGAGCTGCTGTGTTCCCTTCCCTCCCTCCCCTCCCTCTCCTCCCTCCCCCCTGCCCGCCACAGGTCTTCTCACACATCCAGGACATCAGAGCATCTGGCAGCAAGAAGCAGCGGGCGGCAGCGCCATCGCAGCTTGAGCCTCAGCAGATTCGGGTGGCGGCACTCAAGCTGTGACGCGGATGGGGCCTTCACCACCAGCAGCACATGGATTATTTTGTTTTCTTTTGAGGTTCACAGCAGCATGGGCCTCAGCGGGTTCGGGCAGCGGCACTCAAGCTGTGACGTGAATGGGGCCTTCACCACCAGCAGCACATGGATTATTTTGTTTTCTTTTGAGGTTCACAGCAGCATGGGCCTCAGCGGATTCGGGCGGCGGCACTCAAGCTGTGACGCGGATGCAGTGTTCACCAGTGCAGTGGCGGATCACCACCACCACCAGAACATCTGCTTCTTCCTCCTTCTAGGGCTTCATATGTGTTCACCACCACATGGGATATTTCATTTTCCTTTGAGAGTTCTCAAAAGTGGCACCACATCCACCATATGCGTGTTTTCTGTTCCTGTCTTTCCCTCCCAACCTATGACTGCGCATACGCTAGTTGTTTTACTAAGGCTGCGTGCTGCTCATGTGTAAAACGCCCTGGTTTCTCTTGCACTGCTTTCCGTATGCTGCTTTCCTCTCACTTCTCCCTTTGTTGCAATGCAAGCCAAAAACAAGTGATATATACCGTAAGCATGCACACACTTAGGGTACAACCAGGCTAAAACAATGTGTTATAGCCCAAATCCCACAGCCCAAGCCAACACAAATGAATGCACCTAAGCAAAACATAATTACATTTCTGGCCTTGCAGCCTGCAAGAGGCCTCCCACCCATATACTCTTTAGCTTCTAGGGCTTCATAGCCCTCCTGTAGCACAGGCTTCGTGTTAGAACTTACGCAGCTATCATAGGTAAGTAAAATATCCTCAGAGGTGCAGTGCAAGGTCCAGCACCGGAGCAGGTGCAGAAGGGTGCTGAGCGGTTGAGAGCGGTGGTGGACGTATCTCCCCGCAAGCACTCCCAGAGCTGCCACTCTCCATTTCCGTATCCGCCCCTGAGGAGCAAAAAAGGTTCAATTCCAATACCTCATCCTCCTTCCCATCCTTCTCATTCTTCACATTCCGTCTCGCCTCTTGCTCGTTCTCCTTGTCATGATCCTCGTTTGTCGCATTCAGTGTCACATTCAGTGTCGCATCAGCAGCAGCCATGGCTGCGTCTGAAGCTCCCGAGCCGGCACCCCTGCTTCCTGAGAGTGCAGCCATGTCAGCACCAGAGTCAGCCGATGACGTGGACCTTGCACTTGTCTCTCCTGCCACGTGGGACACCTTTTGCCGCTTTAACCTGCCCAGCTCCTGCCGAATGTTCGCCAGAATCGCAGCTCTTTCTGTATCTGAGGACCCACTGTGGTTACTGGTCTGGTTACCATCGCTCTGGTTACCACTACTGTGTCGCGTGTCCACGTCAGAGGACCGCGTGGAGCTGTCAATCCGAGTCAGCCTGGGCGGCCGCGCCGCCAACGCGTTCACCTTGCCACTCGGCTGCGGCCGATTTTGATTCCGAGCCGCCACCTCAAACAAAGGCTGCTGCGGTGGCGCTCCGGTCACTCGAGGCTGAAGCGGCAGCGGCAGCGGCAGAGGCTGCGGCTCGGACTCAACGACGTCAACTTCAGCCGTCCTCGCGAAGCGCGGCGCGTCTTTATGCAGATAATAGAGTCCCCGAAGCTGCGGGTCCGGAGAGAATTCCCGCCGCCGCTTGGCGCCGCAAGTTTTCGTCGAAGCGCGGGCCCCGGCCTTGCCGCCGCCGCCGTCGCGATGAGCCGACTTGTGGCCGCCAAGGGCTTGCAGCGACGCGAATTTGGCGCCGCAAATTGCGCACGCGAAGGGGCGACACGGCGACGGCGACGGCGGCAAAAGAGAGTGTTTTCCGATTTGCGTTATAAACATTAGCTGGTTACCACAAGCAGGAGTGCCACTAGGAAGTGCTGCTGATGATGACGTGGCGTGTAGAGACGCGCCGCGATTATTATGAACTGCAAGGGACCGAAACGGGCCGCCGAAATGCCGCCGCGCGGCTTCGATTTGTCGCGACTCCTCCTGCGAAAAGGATACCCAATCCGCCGCCCGAAGGGCCGCCACAGAAGCTTGGTCATCAGCGGAGTCATGATGATAGTGATCTTGATCGATCAAAAAATTGTTGAGCCCGCATTTTCCGCGCCAATCGATTAACGCGTCCAAGAGAGAGTGTGAGGGAGCGTGCGGCGCGCGACGCATAGTCATTAGTTCCGCCGCCGTCGCAACATCACCCTCGACCGTCGATACGGAATCTTCGAAGTCGATTGCTCGATTACTAGTATGGCGTCCCGCGGCGCGTCGTGGTGATGCAAGGAATTGAGTAGAATCAAGAAGCTTATGCGGCGGAAGATTGTAGAGAGGAGCATTGGCAAGCATCAGACGAATGGAATAGGCTGATGGAACGCTTGCCGCATGATGCGGCGATTCAAGAAGGGCGGTCATCCTGCTTGGTAGTTCGAACTGGTTTGAGAAGCTCGTGTGTCACAAGGAGAGACTCCTGCTTTTTAAGAAATGGATAGCGGCGGAAGTATCCGCGTCTTCCAGCTGTTGAACTGTACGGTGAATCGAAGAATGAGTGAATGGAAGGACGACGCTAGTGACGGGCGATGCGAGTGGTTGAGTTGAGAAGGACGACTAAGATACTGTATTGAAGCTTCGAGAAGATTAGTGAATCAAGCTTGAGTTTTGGTCGATGAGGGAGACAAGACGATCATGTGTGAGATATGCAATCAAAATGTACTACACGAGAGGAGCTCTTCGAACGAACTGGTTTCACGTCGGAGCGCGTACGCTCTACAGTGCGCTTCTGTGCATGGACAAGCAACGATATTTGGCCATACCGAGCTGGCCCATTTCTGCAGGATATTATGGCAATGACTAAAAGTCGGGGTCCCTCTTTGGTGACTCTGCCCAGGCTGTATGCGGCAGCAACTAAAAGACCCGAAGAATCGGAACCGTCGAAGAAAGCTTGACGCTATACAGTTTCCTCGTGGATGTATCAGCCTGGCTGCGACCGCACCACCCTCCCTTCCAGGTCTGATCTTTTACTAAGTAAAACCAGACACCTCATCGTCAGACACGAGATGCGAGTGCAAGAGGGTGGAAACGAGAACACGGAGGTGTCCTTGGTGGTGTGTGCCGTAGGTCGAATTGTATCTGCTGAATGAAATTTCCAACGCTTGTTTCGACGGCGTTTCTACTTAGCCGAGTGCTGGCCTGAGTCGTCCCTGCAGCCAGGGTTCTTGAGATTCGATCTGTTTATGAAAGACGGTACACTACCCTGTTTAAGACTGGTACATCTCACCCGCGATCCATATAATAGGAGAACCCGCAAACGAAACGATAGGCCTGATGGCGTTGGGGATTCAAGTTTGTCGGTACCAATAGACGAATCTTATCTTGCCTCAAGAGAGCTGACACCTGGCATCACCTGAGGCAATTTGCGCGTGCTGTATCCAGCGTGCTTGACAAACTCGTGGTGGCAACAAGCATCCAGCGAAGGGTGCCCCGATTCATGTGCTGCTTGATCATTACCCAGCACCCCGAGTGCAGAAGATATTTGGAAGAATGCCGCATGCCCCAGACCCCACAAACCCAAGCAGGTACATCTCCTCCAATGAGACTTCGCCATTCTACCTCTGCTTACCTGGCGAGCCTGACGCTACACCGCACGCTTAGGGCGCGCTGCACTTCTATTTTTTGGGTTGCGTAGCAACCCTTTTACATTTGGTAGCACTTTTTTCGGTCGACTCGAATGAACAGTGCACCTTTTTGTCATTTTCACGTCTGAAGCACTCGCTTTAACGTTTTGAGAACGTATGCTTCAAATGTGTGGAGATGACAAGCACTGCTACACAAGAGTCTCCAAAAAAAAGGGAAACCAAATGAGACCAATTGTTCCATTATCGTCGATAAATACGGCGAATGGAAACAATTGGTAGCCTCGCAATATTTTACGGTATACATCACACAATTGACGAGACAATAAGTTCAACGTGCCTGCAAATTACAGTATTTGCATCTACCGCATAGAACATGTGCAAAACGACACTCAACAACACTATAAATGTCATAAAGTGAATGGCAAAATGCATCAGTGCTACAAAGGCGATGGATCCGGTATGCTAAGGCGAGCAACGCTGCCCCAACAACGATCCCCACCTCAATTGCAGAGCTGACACACTTTAACATGACACTTCACAACAAACACGGACGAGCACATGCGATATTGTACTGGTACAACGACGACAACGCATAACAATAATGAGTGTCTTGGGGAGAATGCTGAAATGCATCGCTGATGCAACAAAGGTTGGTCTGGCACGCTAAGGCTATTGCCCCACCGGCGATCACAACCTGAGTTGCATACACGAGACACTTCAGCACACGCCTTGAGACATACACAAAACGAAACGAACAACACGATTGCACATACTTATCGCACACAGGCTCACACACTCACATACACACTGACACGCACGCAAACAAGCACAGATACATACGGATAGTCAACACCCAACCATCATGAAATTTAGCTATTAATAAATAATCACTAGCCAATCACCCCTTACCCTCCCTACACCCCTCCCTCCCTCCCTCCCTCCCTCCCTCCCTCCCTCCCTCCCTCCCCACCTCCCTCCCTCCCTCCCTCCCTCCCTCCCTCATCTCCCTCCCTCCCTCATCTCCCTCCCACCCCCTCCCTCATCTCCCTTCTCTGCCAAACAAAATCAACGAATGCAGCTCACGCGCCCTGCACAAAGCAAAAACAGAGAATGCAAAGAACGCGCCCTGCACAAGAGAAAAGCAAACACAGAGAATGTTCACACACAATACAAAAAAAACAATAAAACGCATAATGCTTCCCCGCGAGGAGGCCAAGCAGGAAACTTGACAAGCAATGGAATTTTGACAACTCAGAGGTAAAATGGTGTGGCACCACAGTACTACGCCAACATGATGCAATACATTACAGCCACCCTCACGTTCAACTTCACAAGCATGCTCCGCTCACTCTTGTACTCAATCTTGCACCCACTCACACACAGACACACAAAGACTCTC